GTTCCGCAGGTTAATGAAACCATCTTGAACTCGGTGACTCGAGCATCAAGTCTGGGACAAACTGTCTCCAGGACCTAAACTTAACTAACTGTGTGGAAGGCTGCCATCACAAGATGTTCTGTTCTTGTTTTTACATGAATTGAGATTAAATCGTTCATATTTTCAAATCTTTGCATCAAAATAAATGTTTGGGGGTTTGGTAAATTTATTTTTGGATTTAAAAATAAAGTATTTTGCAAATGGGGGATGTAATGGAGGGCAGTCGACTTGGTACCAGAAAGTCGTGGTTCGACTCCCGCCATGCCCAAACGTCGTGGTGTCTCTGAGCAAGACGCTCAATCCCTAAGTGCCCCCCCGGGTGCCCACATAGCTGCCCACTGCCCCACCTGGGTGCATCCCAGGTGTGATGGTTAAATGCAGAGAGCTCGTTTCATCCTTGTATGAGAACATGCAATGATGACATTTATTATAATAATCACAATAATATAAAAAATAAATAAATAAATAATAATACCACGAAAGTGTGAGAACTGCCCCCGTCTATCTCTGTTCATTTATTTAATTTATTTATTTACCTTTTATTTATCCAGGTTAGTCTCACTGAGCCACGAGAACTCATTTTAAAGAGAGACCTGTTTAGGAGCAGATGGTGGGGGTTGAGTGCCTTGCTCAGGGGCCCAGGGTGGGGCCAATGAGGGTGGAGGCAGGTGTGGGTGCTTCACCTTTTCTACCCACATTTTGATGTTGACAACTGGGAGTTGAACCTGCGACTTTCCAGGCCCATCTTCTCTAACGTCTGCGCTGCCACTCCCCTAATCCGTGGCCCCCATCGTCTTTTTTACTCCCCTAGGGATTTGGAAACAGACAACAACCCACCTTCCCTTAAAACATCACTCCATCACTGAATCACTGAGTGCGACGTGTCTGAATACACTTTTATTGAGACCAGTTGTGTCAGTAAAATATTCAAATAAAACATAGAATGACCAGTTTTGACGTTAAGATGAAATGTTCGTCTAAAGTTGGTAAAATGCCACGATCTGGAGACGTGGCTTTCACAGCACGGATCATTTAAATAATCCTAAAAATCCTATAAATAATCCTTCTGAAGCACTGATCAGAGGAACGAGTGAATCGTTCAAACATTTTGAGATAAATTCAGTAAAACGGAGGTCATCTTGAAAAACGATGATCGTGACTTTTCAAGTGGATACAGTGATTTTATAAACCCGAGGTGCTAGTCGTCACTCTTCACCAAATGAAAGCTTCTCATAATAGAATATTATAATGATAAATGATATATTTATAATGATGCTTCTTATAATAGAATATTGTCATAATCTGCAGCGCTGCGTAAAATGTTTTTATCTCCAGAGCGTCTTGAGTTTAATTGATCTTGATGTCAAAACAAACTGCAAAAAAATCTCAAAGCCAAAAGTGTCCATTTGTTTTTGGCGTCAAAATTTATGAATATTTTTGTACAAAAAGCTGTTTTGAGACAAAAGCAACGCACCGAGTGGATCGCAGGAAGAAGTAGTTTTATGAATGAATTTGAGCCGTACAGCTTTTCTAACACAGCCCCACATTTACATACATGTTTCTTACAATGTGACAATTAGTTATATCATTATTGTTATAACATTTATGCTACTTGATGTCGTTTCAAAATGGGTCGTTCTCATGTTTTACATGACATTAACACTCCTCTAGATTTGAGTTATGAATTTATAAAAACATGCAGCCACCTTCCACACCAGTGTGGCCTGAAAATATAAATTAATTACCGTCAAGAAATGGTCTTTTTTTGACAAATAAAGTTTTATTGTGAACTTCACGGCTTCCAGTGCGACCGTTTTAATTTGATTTAACCACAAATTAACTGTGGGTGAAACTGTTGACGAGCTGACAATCAGAGGTGATTACTTTGTGTGAGGCAAACACCACTTTCATGGCAAACAACTCTTTTTTTACTTATGTTTTTATACAAATATCACTTTAGTAGGTTTCTATTTGTCAAAAAAATGATGCTGACGAATGCCCTTTCAATGCTACAGAATAAAATCTCATCAAAATGAAACCCTAATGAAGTGAGTTGTGTGAGAAGAACTGCAACGAGTGCACGTTTTATTGCTTTGAAGAAAAATGATGATTTGTTTGAATCAGCATTAAAATCCCTGCAATTCTGCTACTGGCAACAAGAAGGCGTAAATAAATCAAGACTGAGCGATTTTATCACAAGGATGCTTTTGATTTGAAATTTGACTCCAAATATAGAAAAGTATTTTGTAATATTTCGGTTCTTTATCATGTCTCATTGGGAAAGAAAAGGTCTAAAGTAATTTTAGTAAAAAATAATTTGCTACACAGAAATGTTTCTGTTCATGTTGCACAGCCCCACTTCTGAAAGAGTTGGGACACTATAACCCATAATTAACAATCTCAGATCAACATTATTCACAGTGGGACATGGTGATCAAATGTTGAAACTAAAACATTGTTCTATACACTGAAAAAATAAAATGGGGTAAGTGAATTTTATGCAAACCTCACGTCTCATTTAAATTGAGTCGGGGCCAAAAAGGCTCAAATTAAACGGAGCTTATAATAAACAGCTGGAGGAGCAATTAAAAAATCAAGTTGATTGACAGCAGCCAGAGGGCTGGGCGTGAAACGAGCTTCTGAAAGAGGCTGACTCTGCCAGAAGTAAAGATGGGCAGGGGTTCACCAGTCTGGAAGTAAAGTTTGGAACACTTTGATCTTCCATCATATTCAAAGTGACCCTTTCTCAGCACTTGATGCGTTCACGCTCCACCGTGAATCAAAATGGATTTATGACACGTGCATCCAGTTTTGGTTTACTTTTCACACGTCGCAGCGTTTTGGGAGCTGGGAATGTTTTTACCAACATTCGTTCAAGTCCTCGTCCTTCTGTGTTCAGCTCGTGCCTAGTCTTATCAAGATGTGTGCTAATTATTAAAAGTTGTAATGAATCATGCAGATGCTACCAGCTAATGCTACCATCTCACAACAACTATCGAGTATCCTTCTCGTTGACTTTGAACAATAGAGTAACTTTGGCTCACTCCAAAGGACACAAACATTATTTACATGTAAAAGACATGAAGTCCTAAAGTGCCCAAAGTAAAGATGTTTGCTCTTTAATAAAACCTACAGTTTGCATGTTGTTCCCTTTAAATTCATCCTATTTCTGTCCTTTTGAACAGTCCTGATGTCAGCAGACGCATCCTTTGTCTGCTTGATCCAAAGTGCATTTCATGCTCTCTCCCCCCACCAGTAAACACCAGGTGGCCTTGAATTCAGTGGATCGGGGCTTTAATTTGGACTGAAGGGGACGCTTGCAGCCTAAATACAGCTGTTAGATGTTGTGAGTGGTGGTTTCCGCTCCTCCCCTGCAATGACCCGTGCCAAGAGATGAGGATGCAGAAGACACTTGCTGAGAGAAACTAGAAACTGTTATTAGACAACTGGAGGCCAAAGCATAAAGTAGGAGGACGATTCTAAAATATCAGCTAAAAGCGTTTCCACCAAGGATCAAAGCCGGAGCTGTCGGTCGCTGCAGCCCCCTCTTTGTTGCTGTTGGTGATTTCATTCACTTAAAGCAACGGTTGCTGCACTTTGAGACCTGCACGAGGATTGTGAGTGTGAAAAGACCAACACACAACAGAAGTGATGAATGAGGACACAATCAGACCCCCCCCGGCTGTTTCATGCTGTGCACGAACGTGACATCCTGTCAGCAAGATTTAAACATGCTCATCTTGTGCATTTACCGTTCGCTGCTTTAAAATCAAATTCAATAAACACTTTGCATGCACAGTTTAGTTGGGCTGCGACGGGATCTTTACCTGCTAGTTTCATATGAACTCTTATTGAAAACATTTCTTTAAATAAATGAACTGAATATTTCTGTTTGTAACTGCTCCTGGATGACTTCATGTTGGAGAACACTTGGAGCTGAAGTGCCATCAGTTGGTTTAAACTGTTTCATGAGCTGCAGGAACTCCTCTAATCCATCGCATAACTTCTTACACTGGGAGGCTGCAAACGACCCGTGGTTGGGTCACACTGAGGGTTCTGGAGACTAAAAAATGTGGTTTGGTTATAAAGTAGATCCTGTCTCTTTCTGACACTTCAGATAAATGAACTTCAGCACACAGCAAGTGCAGAAACGTTTGGTTCTGGACTCTGGATCGAGATCTGGACCTTCCAGAAGTGAAAAGGGACTCCAAACCACGTAGGTTGGTCACATAATGAGTTGGACAATGATGAGCCAGATGTCTCACAGACAAAATCAAAACACATTCAGTTAGGTTCTTTAAATCCAAAGTGTCTTGTACGTTACAACTTGTTTTATTTACTCTGAGAGTCCTCCAGTCCTGCTGTGCACAACATGGGAGACTGCTTTCTAACGTCCTCTCTCTCCGGTGGGGTGAATAAATGGATCCCAGTCCCGAGCCGTCCAGCTGCTAACGAGGACGCAGAAAGACGACGCGCAGGCCTGGGAACGGAAACTGAATGCCGGCTGTGATGAAGGCGTGAAGCAGAAGCAAAGCTGTGTACTCCAGTCCCAGGACGTGATCGATGCTGGCAGCCGAGCCCTGCTTTGAAGTCTCCTCATTAAGTACCGTTTTATTTTTCCCCATCAAAGACTCCTGAAGACGGCAAAAGAATTCCCTTTTAGTCCCCTGGGTGGTACGGTGCAACAAAAGAAATGCACTTCCTGCTTGTCTCAGGACATGATCTGATACAATTTCAAAAACTACCGTACGTTACAGATCAACGCAGGCTGACCTGCTGGTCAGTTTCCATCAGTGATGATCCCCACCATGGTTGAAGCTGGGAAATCTTCTTGAGCAATAATTAATGCCTACCTTCAAGAAAGCTGGGCAGATCCATCTGCAGTTCATAAAAACATGTCTAGGACTTAGCTTAGCGTTAGCATCTGAGCAACAGCATCCAAACTAGAGTTTGTCCGAGTATTACGATCTGTCGCAGCATGGCCCAATGGTGCTCTCCAGAGACATTTGAGATGAGTGGCGAATGAGCGGCGCCATCGTTGGGTCCACCATCGAGGAGGTAGGGAACAACTTGTACCAACCAATCACCATGGAGCTGAGGTCCAGCTCCTCCAGCAGGATTCGAGCGACGCCCATGAAGCATTTGCGGTCCATTCGTCCATAGTTCCCCCAAACAATCACCTACAAAGAGGAACATTCAAAGAAAAGAGCGTTTTATACACAACGAACAGAAATCAGTCATTTTACAGTGAACGACCGTGGCTCGTATTTTAATGTAAACTCTAATTTACTGACATCCTCTCTGGACGTGAGCTTCACTCGTCACTGCTGCGGTTGTTACGCCGTAACGTTTTATATTGTTACTGGTTAGCTTAGATCTTTTAGAGAACTGTTCATTTAGCTTATATCTTAGTGTGTTCGATCCTTGTACAATCATTTTTATAATTTATATTGTTGGGTGTAACTGTAACGCTGTGTGCATAATTTCATTCCACCTCCTGTACCACATGTGATGCAAGTGACAATAAACAACTTGAACTTGTTTCCTGAAGATTAATTTTTCCAGCAGTAGCAGGATGACGTGTCAAAGTAAACGGGCTTTTCTTGAGCACAAGTAAATCTGGAGCTCCGGCGTGGGTCGTGGCCCAACGGTGACTCGGAGCTAGCTGACCTGCAACGATTGGACCTGAATAAAATGGTGGCAAGAGCAAAGTGCCTGGTGCTTGAGTGACTGCGTCAGTGCTTCATCGCGGCTCGTAACAAGCTTGGTTTGATCACAGCTGGACTTCAGAGACAATCTGTAGATTTGCCTCCTCCACTACTTCAGCTAACCTGGAGCCCATGTACCTGCTCTCAGGTGTAGATCACCTTCAGGACTCACCATTGTTCTTTATAAAGCCTTGCTGGACTTCACTCAATACTCCAAGGATGAAGCGTTGGTATCTTTTCATATACAAATGCGTTTTATGAAAAGGACCATCATAGACGTACTCCCAGTTCATGTCACTCCACAGCGCGCCCAGTCTCAGGACCAGGCTGTGGTTGAAGGAACTTTGTGCCACAGAGTCGGGAACAATGAGTTTGTCCTGTTTGGGCCAATGGTCTTGGAATGATCTGCAGCTTAAGTTGAGCTTGGAGTCTTTTTAGTCCTTGATCTAGTTTTAAACAAAACTGTCGGTGGTTTCAGTCACATCGTGCACTTGTCATGTTTAAGTGTCTCATTGTGATATTTTTAAATTTCCATTGCATTTTATGTCTTATTACCAAATGTTCTGTTGTAAATATTTTCATGTTACTGTTACTAAGACTGCTGCTGTATTCGTAATGGCTTGTTTGCACCGTGCACATTGTCCAGGACATCCTTGTAAAAGAGATTAATAATCTCAATGGATTTCTTTGTTGGTAAAATAAAGGTTTAAATAAATATGTTTCCGTGTGCGTTTGCAAAAGTGAGAGATTTGCATGTTTGTGTCTTCTGTCCCCAACATCCTGATAAAATCAGGCCTCGGGTCTCGTCAGGCGGTGGACACGTTAATCAATACCCCTCAGCAAACGTGTCGTCTCATGCGGAGGTCGTGTGTCTGTGAGCGCCAGAATATCAAGTGTTCCCACAGACTCCAGATCTGCCTCAGTCCTTTCATTCTTAAAGAACACATCGTCTTTTTCAAAGAGTCCCCACAATCAAAACGCATCCGCACCTCAGACGCTGCAAACTGGAAAACTAAAAATGCTCATTGCAGCAGAGAACGGGACAAAAAAACGAGATTTAAATTCAACATTTGCTTAGAAACTGTGGTTTGAAGCATCAGAGCTGAATCCTTGTGATTGAAAAGTGTCTCAGACCAGCTTCAGGTAAGTGAATGCAGCATCTACAAATCCTTTAAAAAGTGCTCCTGGTTAGGAAATGAACATATTTTTAATAATTTACAGAATGTTAATAAAACTCCAGGATAGCTTGTCAAAAGTGAGCAAATGACTCGGTCATGGAAGCAATTAAAGAAGGGCTTTCAAATGGATTTCAGTCAACTAAAACAGCTTCGTGATTTGCTACAATGGGAAATGACAAATTGAAAAGTGCTGCTGATTTCAGCGGTTTTCATTATCCGGTGTGAGCGAGTTGATGAAAGTCTGAGGACGCCCACAGACAGCAGATAATTAAGAGGGCGGCGTTTAGAGGCTAATTACACAAGAGCAGCTGGAGGCAGAGCTGCAGGCCGTTAACACGTCACGGTTCCAGCCGCTGCTTATTAACGAAGCTGACACTGTGGCAGGAGCTGCTCGTGAACTTCAGCGGTCAGAGGTCTTCATAGTGGAGACGTGATGAAACGTGACCGAGGCAGGAAATAAGAAGTAAAATGTACAGGTGAGCAGAAAGGACTCAAAAAACAAACTGAAGGTAAAAAGATGAAACGCTGTGAAGCAGGGAGGAAAAGCTGCGTTAACACCAGTCCACCTCTGAGTGAGTCGTGGGGACATGTTGGATTATAAAAGCTGCTGAAGCTCAGAAATGAAGAAATGGGTCCAATTCTTTTTGGAAATGTGAAGCTCTGGTTTTCAGCTGCTTCCTCTGTGTGGTCTCAGAACCTCCAGAACGTTTCTCCAAGCAGCATATCTCCTGGTCCACGTCCGCTGGTTGGAGAAAGTTGGAGAGCTCTTGATGTTTGATGGAGACACTTTGAGGACGGAGATCTGAGTCTGGGGACAGAGCGCGGCCTTTTTATGGATGTTGCAGATTCTGAGTCTGTCTGGGTTTAGTTTCATGTCCACATCTTTGCTTCAGATCATTCATGCAGCTTCACTAACATCATTACCAGCAGATTTAGTTTAAAATGCTCGAGATTAATTTTCAGGATAATGTGGCTCCGTTGTGATGAAAACATCTCGTCAGTTTGACGGAGTGCCAGAAAATGTTAAGAAGTTCTTAATGTTCTCCTGAAATGTCTCATCAATTTATCTTAAGAGGACAGTTCTTGGTTCATTACAACCAGAGCTTCATGTGATCCTGCCGGAACAGGATCCGGGAACGCTCTTATTTTGATAGGGTGTGTTCCGGTAACCTTTTGCTTGGATCCAGTAGCTCTCAGGATTATTAATAAGTTACGAACAAATTTGACTGCCTTGAATGAATAAAACCTATAATGGATATGTTCTCTGAAAATAATTACATAAACACTCATTTTAAACACAACAGCCACTTACGAGCCTCCTAATAAAACATCAGAGCGGCTCCTTCAAGTAAACATTTCTGCTTCTACCCTGAAAAAAATCACCGCCCCTACAAGTTCAGTCATGGGCAATTTAATTAAAAACACAAAAATATAAATAAAACCGCACAACTAAACTGAAAATCAGTTTTACACATTAAGTGAGTCATTATTTTGATTATTTATTAAAAATATGAAAAAAAAAAAAGTTTGATTTGATCACGTGATGTACATCACATCAAAACAACGACACCAACTTGTCAAAATAACAACGATCAAAACGTCAAAAAGACGTTCCATTTTACATTAATTTTTATAAAAAAGTCTTTTGTACAACTGAACAATCGAGAATTGAAGCGCCTGAAGGCAGCGGCACACGACGCGACCCACAACTCCCCGTTTGGTTTATAAATTAAGCACTGATTACAAGTA